TAAAACGTTATTTTATTTTATGTTGAAAACTAATTCTGAAAACTAGTGTCTTTGAATGGAATTTGTAGTGGTTCGGTGTCCATCACGTTAAAACTGCACTTGCTAGGAGGAAAGGAAATAGAAATATTATTAGATATATTGATAAAAATAATTAAAATTTTCTATTTCTTTTCCTCCTAGCAAATGCAGTTTTAACGTGATGGATATTGGGAGACGATATTCGCACTTTATTTTTTTGTAATTGTATTACATTTATTTTTTTTTATATAAAAGAAATGATAAGAAAATCCTTGAATTCATTAATGTACAATGTATTTTTCCTAAATTGAAAAAAAAGTGGAGTGTGAATATCGTCTCCCATACAACACAGTAGGTTCTCTTTTAAAATTAAATAAGTATTTTATAGAACACGTTTTCTTATAAAATTAAACAAGAATTTTATGGTCACCATAATCTCATTGGATGAAGATCATATCAATGTTGATTTCATTTTCGACTTAAGTCAATTCTAGTTGTACAATATATCCATAGCATCCTGTTTTTAATTTCCATTTATTTCAAAAAAAGATAGATTCTTTCACCATCCCTGTTACCATCATCTGATACCACTATTTGTCCATCTCTTGTTCTTTTCTGTACTGAGAAAATGTGAAATATAGTTGAAAAAAAAAAAAAAAAAAAAAAATGGAAGAAGAAAATCGCACATGCACATTTGGTAACCTTGAAAGTAAGCTGGCAAGTATGATGATACTTTGATATATAATTAATTATAATCAGTGACATGAGACATTATGAGTTGTCATATAGAACATCTATGATGTTTCATAATCATAGATTTTTTTTTTTGGAGAAGAAAAGGGACACTCGAGTGCGATGAAGTCTCGAGACTTAGTGTCTCGTGAAACATTAAATCTCATATTCGAATCCGCTTTAGTGTGATCAATTCCTTTGAGTCACGACCGCAGACATAATTGCTATTGAAATCTTTGAGTAGTGTTAGTTCTCGTATAATATCTTTGCAGAATTGCATCAATCTTGTATGAGTGAGTCTCGTGTTGCCAGTTTGTGGGAAGTTAATGTTTGGAGAAATATTTGTAAAAAGAGACATGACATGAGAGATTGCCATGGACAATGTGTGGGTGTCACTTATCAAATGATGACATGGCACATTGACAAGTCAACACAGCCCCTAACTAGGACCTTGTGGCGAGTTGAAAAGTCAAAAAACTACACTAAGCCCTGGCATCGCACCAAGCCCAACAAGTCTCGAGGATTAACCTATGAGCACCCTAAGCCATGGCATTGTACCAGGCCCACTAAGCCTAGAGGGTTTAGCCCTTGAACATCACAAGCCCTGACATTGCATCAGGCCCACCAAGCCTCAAGAGTTAACCTTCGAGCACCATAAGTTCTGGCATTGCACTAGGCCCACCAAGCCTCGAGGGCTCAACCCTCGAGCATCTCAAGCCTTGGCACCACACCAGGCTATCAAGCCTCGGGGAATCAAGCCTTGAGCAACTCAAACCTTAACATCGCACCAGGTCAATAAAGCCTCAAGAACTTGAGCGAATCAATAGCACTTGAGGGCTCAACATAAGGTTCTTCCGGGTCTTTTTAATGTCTCGAACCACTAGAGCCCTAGAGAGCTCGCCTACAGAATGCCATAGGTCTAGTCATAGCACGAAACGAAGTTAGGGCCTTCGTAGCTGTGAGGGATCTAAACTTGGGAAACTTAGAAGGATCTAGGACTGGTTGATGAGCAGTAAAGAAGTGCCTTCGCTCCCAGCACGACCCAATCAACGAGATGATGGGATTATATACATTATGACAACAAACCTTAAAATTACATTTAATGTTATGTCAGGCTTGATCAACTGATGGCCAAGCAACATTTAATGCCCCAAATAGGGGAGAAGTAACATAGCAATATAGTGAATGGCTCGATGAAAAGATTGGACCTCTTAGGCTCATAGGTTCATCAAGACTACTCATGTGATCTTGGTTAGGAGCCAGACACACTAGGGACCGTTGGTTAATGACCAATGTAATCCAGGCCTATAAATAGCACTATCGCATGAAGGAATGAGACACCAGCAAAGAGCTGTCATAAGTACTGTATACTTGCCCTACCACCATCTTAAACTTGAAGATTGGTCTTATTTTCCTCCTTCACCAAACATCTTCTCTGTTTCCTTCACATTTGTATTTTTGATATCACCATTTAATACTTGTTTATAGCATTATCTAAAAAAAACCCATACACAATGTTCCCAAGTTGTTAACTGAGACATTTTCCAGTGGTTGATGACTTAAAAATGTATCAAGATATAGAGCCTTATAATATATATATAGCTAGAATATATACTTTGGTGAAGTTTTCTATCCGTGTTTTGGGAAGTATCAGATCTAAGGTTCGACTCTTCTTGGATGCAAACAATTCCGGGTTATCAACTTTAAGAAGAAGATGGAGCTAATGTTTGAGAATTTTGTAATTATGTCTGAAAGAGAAAAACTAAAAAAAACTCCTCACTCCAAATATATTTTATATGTATATATTATACAAATAATTAAAATACTCTCTATCCTAAAATAAATGTCTCTTTTGGACAACTGTGACTTGTGAGTTACAGTTCCCAAAAAAAAAAAAAAAAAAACATTCTTTTTCTAACAAAGGAAGGAATAAAATCTTTAACTAAAAAAAAAAAAAAAACAAAGGGAGGAATAAAATACCCCTATGGGGGTAAACTACCCATATAGTCCATGGCTTTATTCTTTATTTAGAGCCCAGAAGACTTCAGGGCGGAAAGAGGGCCAGAATCATTATAGGCCCAAAAACCTAACCAACCCAAAAGGAAAACTGGTCACTTGCCTGAATCTTTCTCCTTTTTGACCCTCATTCACATTCATCTCATGGTTAGAAAGATCCGGACCAATGATTTCTCTCACCAAATTCGGTGAGAGAATCATTATCGTCAATTTTAAATTATACTAGCCATAGTATAAAATTTTGTTTGTATAATCACTTTTGAATGCAGAGAGTAGAAAGTTAGTGAATCAAGAGAAAGGAAGATGCAGTTTGTTCAAGAAGATCTGGTTCCTGTAAAATCACCAAATGTCCTTGAAGGCTACAGAAATTAAGATGGAGGGTTGGGGTTGGGTTTGGCTTTTGCTTTTGCTTTGACTCATTAATAATGGGAAAGCAAATGTGCTTAAGCTTGTTAAAGAGAGAGAGAGTATAAATGTTTCATGAAACTAATACTTATCTGTGACACCCAGGATTTCAATTAACGGTGTAAAATAAAAACAAAAATTACTAACATTGACAAGCATAGATTCGGCAAATAAGAAACATATCATTGCAAAATAATATCCTAATCAATGAATAGTATAAGAAAGATGGAAAAACATAAGAACCTAAATGCTTAGCCCCGTTTGGCATGCATTTTGTTTCTGCTATTTTGTTTTTGGACTGTTACAATATCAATTTTGGCAATAAAAGTATGTTTGGTGCAGCCTTGTTTTATTTTACACAGTGCTAAAATACTTCGTGAATAGTGGCCAAAACTAAAACACCAAAAAATTAATTTTTCTTGTTTTGACAACTATTCATGGCGCAAACTCATAAAAGTTGTTTTTTCTTGTTTCTGTTTCCCACATTTTCACAGCAAAACGTCGTTCTTAAACGTGATTCTAATTTTTTTCCAAAAGAATCTTACAGCAAAAACACTGTTTCTGTTTTAGTCAAAAACAAAAAGCTTAAAACAAAGAGCAAGTAAAACAGACCCTTATCGATAATATTTCTACATAAGCTAATCAATGAATAATAATAAATTTAAATAAGAAAAAAAGAAATAAAAAAGATAAAAATAAAATAGAAAGTTAGGTACATCCTTACACATCGTTGAAAAAGACGAGACAACTTAACCATCATTCCATTATCTTTAGCTTTACTTTGTCCCGTCTTGTACACCAACGAATTAATTCTGCCCCACATGATAAAGTTCCCAATGTCTATTTTCATAATTAGACTTTTGTCTATTAAAATTATTATGACCACTTGTTTCTCAAATAGGACAAGTAAGAATAGAGAGAGAGAGAGAGAGAGAGAGAGAGAGAGTGTGTGTGTGTGTGTGTGTGTGTTTGTGGAGTCCGTCTTTGTAGTGCTGGCCAATAAGATAAATGATTAGGAAACTTCTTCATTGGGCTAGCATTCCTAACGTAAGTCCTGGGTCTCCTCTGAGTCTGCTTCTGTAAGTCTTCCATATCATTTTCCAAGTCAACTGGGAGTGTTTATGCTAAACTGGGCGTGAATAAAAACCAAAAAACAAGAAGGGAGACAATTAACTTGTTTTAAACAATAGAATTGGATTCCTTATCGTGGTTTTTTTTTTTTTTTTTAATTATTTATCACAAATAAATATAAATCCCATAATTTTATAAATTCATTATTTTCACATACTTATAATGTATAAATTAATCATTGATATAAATATCTCGATCTATAATTGTAAAACTCAAATAGATCAAGATAAACATCGAGATCTTTTTTGCAAAACGAACAATATGCTGAACTGCAATAATCAAAGTGTGGAAATCGATTTATTTCTCTCTTAACCTTTTACATACATAAATATTATACGTCTGATGAAATATGTACTTGATGACCGGTTTTTGTTTTAGTAACTTTAATTGCACTTTTCATTAAAAGTAAAAAATAAATAGGGAAATACTTATCCAATAATTAATTATCAAAAAAATAATTTATAAGTTAACTAAATAATATAATATTAATATTAATATGATATCTATTTTATTTAACCACTAAAAAATAAAAGTAAATCAACAAGTCCAAATTATATGGGCCACGTATATAAGAAAATATTTGACAACTTCTTGGTTGGGTTAGCATTTCTAACGTAGGTCTTGGGTCTCGATCCTCTACTACGTCTGCTTGCTTCTGTAAGTCTTCCATATAATATGCTAAACTGGGCGTGAATAAATCAAAAACAAATCTTGTGGTTATTTTTAATTTTGTAACTTCAAATGGCTACGGCCTCCCTTTTTGCTTTCATTTTTCTCTCTCATCTACGGCTTATTTACTCAGCTGAAGATGATATCAAAAGCCTACCCACTTGCCCACAGTCCTTCCTCTGCGGAAATCACAGCCCCATCCGCTTCCCTTTCACAAATACCACGTATGGCCAGTGCGGTATTGTGATGGATTGTGATCATCCAGTTCCAAAGGTCCAAGTAGGAAGCCAACACTGGTATGATGTTAGTGGCACAATTGACAAATTGCTTGAAATTCATGATCCCCTGCTTGAAGATCACATATCTCATAAAAGATGTAATGACACGTTCAGGAATCTAACTCTTACCGAGTTTCCTTTCGTTTCCTTCACCATCAATTCACACAATCTCATGACCTTCTTCAAGTGCAACAATACTCCTCAAACAGAGTATACTAGTTACAACAAATGCAAAGGCTACTCAATTTACTACAAATATCCAGAAAATGATGCACCTGCACCTGCTAATCTTCTCCATGAATGTTCAGCTATTCAGCTGCCAATATCATTGTGGCCTAGACTGCCTAGTACTACAAACCCCACAGACCCATTTTCAATATTGACTGCAAATTTCGGTCTTGAATTGCATATATCCCAAGATTGTCTTAATTGTCAACTTGGGGGAGGCCAATGTCTAAATATCAATGAAAAGTTCCGATGCCAAGAGAAGCTGAAAGGTATGAGTGTTTCTACAGAAAAAATAAAACATGGATTGATTCTAGGAGCAGGTACATACCTCCTTAAATAATAATATTCGCAAGAGATTATGCATGTATTAAATATAAATATATATATATATATATATAAGTGTGTGTGTTCAGTTTTTCAAGATTTGTCTGTAAGTTTACTTTGTAACCTTCACCATATAATTTGAGTAATTGACTTCAAAAACAGACTTACCCAACCAAAAAAGGAAAATAGGAACACCTGAGTTGAGAAAGAGAGAGTAGAAATATTCCATGAAAACTATGAAGCACGGACATCAACACGGGACACGCGTACTGTATGATACAGACACAGTGGTACAATAAATTTTAAAATAATAGAACACGGCAAAGATACAGTAATAAAAAAATAATATATATTTTTAATATATATAAAATTTTAATTTCTCTTAATTTTTAATTTACATTAATAGACATGATCCATTTAAATTATGTCCAATCCAAATTCTATTAAAATTCAAACAATAAATATTTAATATATCTTTATATCTAAATACTAGAATTTGTATCAATACTAGAATAGTTTTATTGTTGTAACCAAACACATCGAAAGAAGAGATAAGATTTCTATTCAATTATAGGTCTATTAATTTTGAATAGTAAACACATTATTGAAAAATAATATTCTAATCAATGAATAGTATAAAAAAGATAAATATTTGACAAACATGAGAACCTAAATATTAATCGGTAATATTTCTATTCAATTATAGGTCTATTAATTTTGAAAACAATGCATGAAATTATACCCATGGAGTTCGTTTTTTTTTTTTTTTTTTTTCTAAATTATATCCATTGAGTTCATAAAAATACAATAATAAATTTAAATAAGAATGTTAACATAAAATAATGTATTACATTCTAGTCCTTATGTAACTGTTGTAATGTAGTCTACTTATATGTCCACCTTTGTATCATTATTTACATCAATTGAATATAACGTCAATTCACATCACTTCTACATCTCTGTCTCTATATCTCTGATAAGCCATCACCGGAGATGTCGGCATAAGACTCGTCTCCGGCGGCGGTCCAAAGTCCTCAATTAAACTATCCTCTGCTTCTGCTCATCAGTCGCTTCCACCGGAGTTCATCACTGCCAGACGCCACTCCATCATTTCATCCGACCCAGTCATGGCAGCCATCACCGTGCCTAGCTCCCTGCTCGCCCTCAGTCGAGCTCTCTGCCATCGTCACCACCGGTCAAATCACAGTCAGCCGGAGCCATCCACCGTCGTCCTCAACCAGCTCAACCTCACCGGGTCAATCTAACTCCTAACTCGCCTCACCCACCTCCGCCTCTCAGCCACTGCTCTCTGCATCGACAACACCACCGGCGTCTTCCACCTCACCCTCGGCCGATACCCAGCACACCAACCACCCAGCTCACAGTTCAAAGATCCTCCTCAACCTTCTCCGATCTCTGCCGTCATCACCACTGCCCTGCCATATTATATATATATATATATATATATATATATATATATCCTAAATACCGGAGCTCGATCTGAACCACCACTCGATCTGAACCTCTGCCACCAGAGAAACACCAGCCATCCTCGGCGGCATATATTCTCCATTACCAACCGGCTCCATCTGAGCCGCCGCAGACCAGCTCGTCCCCACCTCTATAGTGGGCGTCGTCCCGCTGTCCTGCCGTCATCGACATCGATCTGCAATCGACGTCGTCTCGCTGTCCCGCTGTCCTTCGACGTCGAGACCTCATATCGATCTGGACCCGATGTCATCCCGCTATCCTTCGTCGTCGACATCGGTCTCACGTCGACATCGACTTTTGAAGACAGCTCATCCCCATTTCTTTACCACCATAGCCTTCATCGTCGGTGCTGCCACAGAGCTCTGTCGCCGTCACAACTGCTATCTGCCGCCACGGATCTGCCGTCATCTGCGATCGCCGTACTCATCTCGCCGTGCTCTCTGTTCGCCGGCTCTTCAACCCATATTGATCTACAATCACCGATCTCCTCTGCCGCTGAAGCCATCACTGTTCTCTCTGCCAGATCTATGCGCACCCACTGCTTTGCTGTTGTCTGACCAGTCACGCACCATTGCCGGCGACTTGTTCCTCGCTATCTGGTTCAGTCCACACCTACGGCGCTCTCTGTATTTCTCTGTATTGGGTCTGCAGAATGTTTTGATTTTTGTCGGCAGTTTATTCTTTTTGCTGGGGAGAGAAATAAAGCGTGCTGATTTATGGAAAGTGCATGTTATTTGTTTACGGACCAGGATCATATCTCCAGTTGCATGATAAAACCATTTGCTCCATTTGGAATAAGTGACTAAGAATGGGTCACATCAATTAAAAAATTTGGGTAATTAATTTTTTACCACCCATTTAAATATTGTATTATATATATATATAAACTTTAAATATTATTTTTAAAATACATTTTCTCTCTCTAAAAACTACGATCGTATTCCTTTCTCTCTCCTCTAAAAGAGAAGAAGGAAATAGTACCAATGGTGGTCTAAAGCGAAGAAGAAGTGAAGAACAATGGTGAGGCGAAGAAGGAGGGAAGAATGGCAAAGGGAGGGAAAAAGAAGAAGAAGGGAAGAAGGTCTGAAGTTAGGTTGGAAAAGTTGGGATGCACATTAGAAAAATGTTGGGATTCATCGTAGGAAAATATTGGGATAGGCGAAGAAGAAGAAGTGAAGAATGGTGGTCTAAGGCGATGAAGAAGAAGGAAATAATACCATTTTAAATGGTACACCACCTTAAGAAAAATGTTGGGATTCACATTAGGAAAATGTTGGGCTTCACCTTATGAAATTGTTGGAATGCACTTTACAAATAAGTTGGGATGTTTGTACGAAAATGTTGGGATGTAATTTAGGAAAATATTGTGATGCACCACTTTACAAATACTTTGGGATATATGCTACGAAAATGTTAGGAAATTGTTGTATTGCAGTTGGGAAATTGTTGTGCCGTAGCAAATAAGGATAATTCGGGATACAGGTATAATTTTCAAATTTTATTTTTAAATAAATCCTCTTATTTCCATAAGAATGACAGAAACAAAGAAATCGTACCTCTTGCTTCGATTTGGAGAAGTTTGATCTGACCTTCAATTTGGAAATAGAATCGCTTATTCTATCTCGAAATAAAGCTTGTTTCCTGCTTCTATTTGGAAAGAAATCAAAATCTATTTGGAAAGAAATCAAATCCCAAACTAGGTTGATTGATATTTTGGGAGAGAAAAAGAGTAGCTGGGTGGCGGGATTTCAATCAAAATTTATTTGGAAAGAAATTAAATTCTAAATTGGGTTGATTGATATTTTAGGAGAGAAGAAGGGCTGGGTGGCGGGATTTCAATTTTATTTCAAATGGGTTGCTGAAATGAAAGAGGGAGGGAAGAAGAAATAAGGGAGGAAAGAAGAGTATATTTGAACAGTGTATACATACATATATATATATATATATATATATATATATATATATATATACACATATATATATACAGAAATTATGTATAAAGCAAATATAATTTTTTACCCACTATGGTAAGTACTATTCATTCACAAAAATGGAGCAAATGTTTACACTATTTCATTGGAGGTGATTTTCACCCATTTGTTTACTCGTTTGGACGGTTCCAAACCCATTTTTACAGTATCCGGCCCGGTTCAGTATTTACCCAGATCAATTTTTGGCCCAGTTCATTACAGCCTTGGCCCAGTTTCAGATTCAAGTTCTAGGTGCTCCTGATATCCCTCTAGAACTTGAGGGGGCGTATTTCGACCGATTCCAGTTTTCAGAGTACAGCTGCCTAGTTTCTCGGCATTGATCTGGCTCTCTCTAATGCGCTTCCAAGTGCTTTATCATCTGTCATAGATGCTTCTAAGCGTCCGCCCTGTAATCAACGCATCCACAAGCGCCCTCTGTAATCGATGCTTCCACAAGCGCTTTATGTAATCGACGCTTCCACAAGCGCCCTCTGTAATTGATGCTTCCGAGCGCCCCTAGTAATCGACGCTTCCGAGCGCCCCTGGTAGGCAATGCATCCGTGCGTCTCTCAAGTGGTAAATTCCACTCTATGATTCCACTCAATTATTAGTTTTCAAGAGCTCATGGCTACCACACTTGCTATAAAGTGGTCTTTATGCGCCTTTGCGCATCTCAAGTGGTTATACCACTATATCAAGCGGTAATCCCGCTATGTCATACGCATCCATGCATCGTGCTCCCAAGCACCTCAAGTGGTAAATCCACTCTATGATTCCACTCAAATATTTGCTTTTAAGAGCTCACTCAAGGCAACCACACTTCCCGTAAGTGGTCTATTATGTGCTTCTAAGTACCTCAACGTATCGGATCTTCACAACTCCGGTACCGACTTCCGCTCTAGGTTTTCTCTCCAAACTCAAGATGGTTTCTACTCTACCACCTTGAGTTTGAGGGGGGATGTTAACATATAATAATATATTATATTATAGCCGTTGTAATGCAGCCTATTTAACTCTTCCCAAGCTTCCTTTCATTTCCTTCAGGATCACATACAATCACACATTCTTCAAGTGCCACAATCCTCAATTTACCCCTCCAATGGGTGATTACAAAAATTTCAATTGCATAAGCTACTCTGTCTACTACAGATCATCTCCAAATCATGTGTATATATTTCTGAATCAATTCACACAAACCAAATCAAAATCTTCAATGAAACAGCTCTCAATCCACACCAATTGATTAATTCCTTGCCTCAGCAGAACTTAATTGTTTTTTATCACTTGTGTATGGTTAATGTTTCAAGATTATGCAAACTACTCTATTTTGGCTTCATACTTCTCGATCATACATCGAGACTAATTTTCCTTTCATTTGGTTCGGTAGGTGCAATGGGTTCCTTCTATTTTTCTTCTTCTGTTGATTTTATTTTGTAGGCCAGGAATGTAATAAATTCAGCCAGATGAAAGAATTTCATCTTCATCATCAATAATAATCTTTTTTTTGGAGGAGTACATATATTGTATGACTGAAAACATAGATCAAGAGATTAAACCAAATTGATCAAACAGATATTTTGCAATCAAGTTCCATCTATTTGACAATCAATCATTATTCTTTCTTCAATTCTTTATTTATTCTTCATATTTATTGATTTTTTTCCACTTTAATGATATGATAATTGTGACTTCACTAACATTGTTTTGTATGACATTGATTGCAGGAAAAAGGAAGTACATATTGATAATTACAGGTAATATACCTCCTTAATTAATTGATCATGACTTACATAACTTGGTGAAGAAAGTTTCATTAGGTAATCCATCCACTAAACTAAAATCTGCATTTTGTTCTTGGTATGTGCTTACTAGTTTTGATCAACAAACCTATTATTTGTCTTCATTCTTTCGAAGAAAAAACGTAATCTATACAAAACTCTCTCTGTCTCTATCTCTTTATATATGATACCTGGAACTAACCTTTCCACCTTCTCAACGTAATAGTCTAATTTTCTTTATTGGTATTAGTTATAATATGAAATTCTTGCACCAGTTGGCTTTCTCACCTCATTTTATTAATTGATCACAGGCATTTCAGTGGCTGTAGTGCTAGTAGCAGTAATCCTACTTTGTTGCTTCAAGAGAAAATGCTCATTAGTTACATCCACAATCTTTTGGAACAAGGGAAGAGAGAACCGTCAACAGATTGAACTCTTTCTAAAGAACTACGGATCCCTTGCCCCAAAAAGATACAGTTATTCAGATGTTAAGAAAATGACCAATTCTTTTGCGTACAAACTAGGTCAAGGAGGATATGGAGGTGTATACAAGGGAAAACTAAAAAATGGTCGTTTGGTGGCAGTGAAGGTTTTAACTGATTCAAAAGGCAACGGGGAAGATTTTACTAACGAGGTTGCAAGCATTAGTAGGACTTCACATGTTAATGTTGTCACCCTTACGGGTTTTTGTTTTGAGGGCACCAAAAGAGCTCTCATCTATGAGTTCATGCTTAATGGATCTCTTGAGAAGTTCATATATGATGAAAGTTCCTCAATAAAACGTCAATTAGGGTGGGAAACATTATATCAAATTGCAGTTGGCATTGCTCGAGGATTAGAGTACTTGCATCGAGGTTGCAACACAAGAATTTTGCACTTTGACATAAAGCCTCATAACATTCTTCTCGATGAAGACTTCTGCCCAAAGATCGCTGATTTTGGTCTTTCGAAACTATTCCCAAAGGAGGAGAGTATCTTATCAACGGTGGGCGCAAGAGGGACAATTGGGTATATTGCTCCTGCAGTATTTTCAAGAAGTTTCGGAGTGGTATCTCACAAGTCAGATGTCTATAGTTATGGAATAATGGTTTTAGAGATGGTTGGAGGGAGAAAGAATATTTATATTGGAGTTGATCATACCAGTGAAATATATTTTCCCCATTGGATACACAAGCGTGTGGAGCTAGATGACGATTTGGGATTTTATGGTATAATGAATGAAGAGCAAAATGAAAAAGCAAGGAAGATGATAATAGTTGGCTTATGGTGCATACAAACTGACCCCTCAAATAGGCCATCCATAAATAAGGTGATTGAAATGTTAGAAGGGAGCCTAGAGTCCTTGCAAATCCCACCCAAGCCATTCTTGTCTTCTCCCCCAAGAACGCCTGCACATTCTTCAACCATACAAATATTGTAATATTATGCTTTAATTATGTAATCTTAAGTCCATCATCATATTTCGATCTTACTTTGTATTGGTTTTCATCAAGTGATTTAAGCAACTCAATCAAATCATTTGATTTCATTTGGCTCAGTTGAATGAGAATCTTATGTCTCAAATAAGGAAAAGTAGTCTTAAGTTCAATACTTCAAGAACTTGTGTTTTCCTTCATTTTCTCCAACATAAGTGTAGCATTAAGAATTCTTATGCTTTAAATTTTACCATATCAGAAAAAACAAGAAGAAATCTTCATAATACTTACTTATAATCCTCACAGAAAAAGATCACGACTTTTAACAACAACAGTATTTTATTTAGTAAATAATCTCTTTTTCATCGGTGACCATAAAATTATTTCACACCAAGCATGATAACAGTTAGGTATGGTACAGTGATTCAAGTCTAAAATAAGTAGTTATAAAAAATAAAATTAAAAAAGTCAGTAGCAATTATATCCAAGATCATTATATTTGGTGTGGATAAATTTCATACTCAATTTTCATTTAATTAAAAAAAAAAAAATGAAAATATTTTTCAAGAAAAGCCTAAATGCTAATCCATTTCCATTTAATAAGTGCCCTTTTACTTCCCACAAATAACTAATAGTGTCATTAGTAAAAGACTGTATCCTAGAATTGCTCATCAATCTACAAGATAAAGCCTTTTTACTTCCATCAAATGACTAATAGTACGACCAATGCAGAGGAATGCTTTGAAATTGATACTATAAAATGTTAGTATGGTTTTGATAAGTTCATTAATTTAAATATGATCATAACAACAAAATTTTAAAAAATTATAATAATTTAATAAACATAAAATAAAAATATTATTATAATATTATGCACATTGATTACAAATTTAGGTTTATATATCGCTATCAACAAATAACACTCTTTCTATCACACATTTTAGATTTGTAAACAAAAAATTTTAATAATAAAAATTATTTATATTAATCTATATGCTTATTTTAATAATTTCCTATATATATATATATATTGAAATTTATAATTAATTACTATACAAAAATACTTTATAAATCATGGTCTAATTGAGTTTAAAAACACAGTAAGTTCTCCTTTTAAAATTAAACAAGTATTTTATAGAACACGGTTTTCTTATAAAATCAAATAAGAATTTTACTGTCACCGTAATTTCATTGGATGAAGATCATATCAATGCTGATTTCATTTTCGACTGAAGTCAATTCTAGTTGTACAATATATCCATAGCATCCTGTTTTTAATTTCCATTTATTTGAAAGAAAAAAAAAATTGATGATTTAGTTACCTCGGCAGTTCCCAAGTCATCCTAAAGATATAAGTTCTAGAGTTTGATCATTTACAAGCACTGCACTTTCTTTGGTTATACCATGACCTAAGAGGAAGAAGAATAAGTGGATTAGAGCCACATGTACCCCTGAACTAACAACCCTATTGAAACGACCCAAAAAAAAATACCGGTCAACAGTATCAAAAATAAAAAAATTTCGGCATTATATCTGCAGAAAAATACTACTACGACCTGCTGAAATACATATAAAATGCAATGACTTCATTTGGCCTTAAAACTAATCTATCATGTCCCAACGCACAATGCAAATAATATACAACATTCCCAAAATCAGCACATACATATAAAAAGAGTCTTGTTCCTCCATCTCATCCAAACATGGAAACACCAGTCCACTACCTAGTCCCATAATTCTTTACAAGGAACGCACTTTATTACATCAAGTTACAGTCCGTGAAATATAGCTAAAATTAAAAATCCAAAACTTACAACATTATACAATTTAAATTAAAGTTTTACAGAATAGTCAAGATTATATTTACAAAATATTAAAGTTCAATTACAAAAGATAGCAAAATATAGATCTCCAATCTCGTCTAAACTTGTGAATCGTCGTCCGCCACCTCTTTCCCATGTTTAAAAAATATTAAAGTAATGGGGTGAGCCAACCGCTATGTAGGGAGTGTCTAAGACACACCTCTTACGACCCCGTAAACCCACATAAGGAATAGAATACAAGTGAACGGGATCATATCTCGAGAAGCAAGTAAAATAGTAATAATATTAACAAATACATACACAAGTTATCCGACTATCAAGTGTGCAATATATGCCAATAATATGCCATGCCATGAAATGTCGCTCCTGATTTTTGAAACAATACCGTTTCACCTTTCCAAACCATTAGTGTAGTCCGACCCAAGGCGATTCCGGCCAAGGCGTCACGAGAGGAGGATTGACTAACTATCCACGACCACAAGGCAACTCTAAGGCATCGTATCCGGCTTAGGTAGCTCAACCACACAAGGGTCTCTCCCTAGTCCTCTCTAGACCACACTAATGTTGCGGACCACTACAAGACTCTTAGGTGTCCGTGTTTTCATAAACACTTTTCGAAAACTTTTTCCCCCAAAATAATTTCTTTTGCTTTTCAAAAACACTTTTCCCTTTTCCCTTTCCCAATGGAATGCATGAATGTTCCATACTACACAATTTCAATATTAACAATGAAATATCATGTAAATCAATAATTCTCAACAATATACACATACCTCATGCATAAATAAATAATTTAAACATATTGAACAAATCAAGGCATAAATTGAATATATTTTCATCATATAAACTCAAGGAACATGTAATTGAGCCACCTATTCACATAATTCACATTATCATATAAAACCCTAAATTTCATAGGTCAAATAATCAAATAAAACATGCTTATAAGCAAATTTAAGGGGGACAATTCACAAGGGTTAAAGAAATTGTGGGTTAGAACACCCCTACTTCAAGAAATGAAGAAAATCCCAATTTCAGCGCAAAAATTTGAAATCCAAAGGGTGGCCAAATTGAACTTTACTCTAATCAAAATGTCGTCCTCGACGCGCTCGTCAACTTTGCCTTAAGTGGCAAAACCAAATTCTAAATGTAGTGAGAGAGATCTTGCCTTGAGATGAAGGAAAAAGAAGGAAAAAAAAAAAAGGAAAAAAAGAAGAAAAAGGAATGGAACTGAGAGGGAATTTCGTGGCTGCCAAATGAGGAAATGAAGACTCTATAATGATAATAAGTAATTGTAATGGCTTATAATAAAAGTGGATCCCACGGCCTTAATAAATATCTCATATTTTCACATTATATATATATATATATATATATATATATATATATAAATCAATTTGTAACCACACAACTTAACATACAACCATATAAGTATGCACAATTTAAAAATGTATGAAATGCAATAGACCCGTGACATAACCTCCGTGCACAACAATCTCGCTAACGGGTCCCACTTAGGACCTCCCGACCCGTAAAACCGAAAAATACCAAAATGACAACTAATGCATTTTCAAGAGTTCTGAACTCAAGGAAATGCTCCAACCACTCTCAAGACACACCCGGCACACCCCACGATGTCCGGCATGCAAAACGAGACAAAACAAAAATAAACCCAAAAAATCAAGAAATCCCAAATAATGAAAAATGGGAAAAATCAAGATCATTACAATTTACCCTCCCTAAAAAGATTTCATCCTTGAAATCGACCCTCCTTAAAGAGGAGGCCCACAGACACAGACCTTCACAAGAGACACTTCACAAAGCAAGGCTATGAACTCACCAATCTTATTGCTTTTGACACCGGACGTCAATAGGCAATCACACACCACTACCACTAAAATGCAATGCTCACCACCCTATGAGGGTACTCATCACTCACAACATCAGAATATAAGACCAACTAGATTCTACATCTGACTCAAAATCGATACCAGTCCATTCAACACTACTACGCAAAACTTCGGAGCCCAAAAAAAGAACAGCCACAAGACTACCGTACATGACAACATCTAAACTTCATTTATCCTCTAAATGACACACAAAACCCTAGACTAGGAACCCCACCTATCTTACAATCAACCTCAAACTTAAATCTACACATCTCTTTCAGACCAAGCACTCGCTATCTAAGGCATAGCTACACCGTTACATATCGGTATAAGCGACCACCAACTGCACCATTCGGCAATCATTATACTTAACAACCTTAAGATGACTAAACAATGAATCTCCCAAAAACTACATAATCATGAGTCACTAGAACAATAAATGTTTTGTCCTGCACCCAGGACACAAATCCTTAAAATAAGATCTTCAATAATCAACGATCGTACCACAACCTTTTTATCGGACACTTGGTCCTACCTATCACACCCCGTCGCTTGAAACAAACCATCTGAATTAATAAAACACTATTATTCCAATGAATGTCCTTCCCAGACCAGATCCACACTGTTACACTGACACAACACATCACACCTTGCTCTTATTGTCACTAACAAGTGAAACAATTATTGACCTTTGACCCGAGATCGTGCTAAAGAGGGACTGATTGAGGAAAAATGGTTGGTCAGGCCATTCTCATCATCGATCCGACCTTAACACAGATGTCGTTCTTGTCCCCAGGTTCAAACCTCAAACACAATCTCACATTATCTATAAAATAACCATGAGATCCACTCACTATCAATCCATCGCTCTAAGTAACCTCAACGACTATACAGTCATATACCTACTTTAAGAATCCCAATCATGCCTCAATCATGCCACCATAACAAGCTAAAAGCAATACGGTACCAAATATCACAATCATTGACTAGTATAAAAGCTCTTTAATCTCCTTATAATACCTATACCAGGTAAACAATTCCATAACATTATTCAATTCAATTCTTACCTATTCAAAACACACAATATGATTATCTCATGCCTGAGATCTCAAAACCAAAGTCAATCTTTCCTATTATTCCTTAACGGAGTTCCACATTCACTTTCTCTAATCACGTAGTTCTAAGGCGACATCGACACTTGTCCTCAAGACATTGCTCAAATTAGACATCAATAAAAACATCCGAGTACTTGTAATACCCCTAATTTTAAAAGGATAGTCTTAGTATTTTATTAATTGTTTTAATTGTGTTTTTAATTCATTAATTGATT